AAAAAAAAAAAAAAGTTATAAGAATAGTGTGGTGAACTCCACACCGTTTCCCTAGATTTACCATTATTATTTTACCTGTTTTATTACTCTGTGGCTGAATATTATTATTATTATCATTATTAATTTTGCTGAGTCATTTCACAATATACTGAAGTCATAATGACTTACTTCTAAATATTCCAATAAGAACATTCTCTTATATAAACACAAAATTGTCAAATGTGATTTAACATAGCTTCAATGGTTTTGTTGCTCACATGTAAATTTCACTAGTTCCCCTACATAATGACTTCACTAGAACTTTTTTTTTCTTATCCAGAATCCAGTGCAGGAAATTCATTGTTTTTAGTTGTCATAATGCTTTAATCTTCTTTAATGTAGGTCACTTCCTCAGCTTTTCTTTATCTTTCATGACATTAATGTTTTGAATAGTATAGTCCATCTGTTTCATAGAATGTTCTTTGAAATGGAATTTTCTGATATGAAATTGCCTGCTTTTTGGCTATGCGTTTTTGGCAGAATTAGTACATGAATACTTTTCTTATTGCATCATATATATATATATATAAAAGGCCTACAGTGTTGCTTTATTCCATTATTTGGCCTCTTAATTTTTTTTTTTTTTTTAAAGATTTATTTATTTATGCATACAGAATGGCCTCTTAATTTTAATAACTCAGCTAAGGTAGTACTGGCCATGTTTTTCCCCTATAAACTTGACATTTTTCCCCTTTTATAATTAATAAGGAACCTGTGGGAAGATACTTTGGGACTGTTAATTATTGGTTCTCCATTATGCTTTCCCCCAGTGGTTTTAGCACCTATTATGCCTAAATGAGTTGTAACTGCAATGATGTCAATATGATAATTTTCTACCTTTTATATTTATTCCTTTTAATTTATTAGCAGGCATCCTATTGAAGGGAGAGTTTTCACTTGCCCTCTATTATTTCTTGATATGTTTCTTTATTACTATCAGTACAGACTCCTGTTTCTGTTTTTAATTCAGCAGGCCTATTACTGGTCTTTTGATATGTCCCATTATTGCTTGAGCATGTCCTTACTTTCTGGCTCCAAGATGGAATAAATGTGTATCTTCCCTGCTCCCATTTAGCAGTCAATCACTTCTTCATAAAACCCTTGCTCCTTTTAGTAAAGAATGGTATTTAGATGTCAGATCTCCTTAAAGTCACAATTTGAAAATAAAAATATTATTTTACTAACAGAAATTTTTGATCTGACAAAAAGATCTGAGACAAAGGTTATATTAGAGACTTGTTTTTATTTCACACAGAATAATATTCCTACTGTAATGTACTTGGACTTCTTAACAAATATAATTTAAGTTGTTGTAAAATGACTAAATTCCCAAATGTGTTCTTTTTTGTTAAGGCAGTGGATTTCTATGTTAAGTTAATGAACTTACTGTCGGCTGTTGTTCCTAGGCCATTCTACTTACAAAAACTTGGAACACTCATTATGAGATAATGTTAACTTCTCAAATACTTAATGTTTGTAATCCTAGTAAAGTACTGATTATTGCTGGGTATTTACAGTTGTCAAATTAACCCAAATTCAGCATATAAAGTGTGAGCCCTCCTTGGTGGCTGCAGCGGGTTAAAGGACAGCACTACAAAGCTAGCAGCAGCTGCTTCAGCTCAGGTTCACTACCTGGCCAGGAAATGACCCATATGGCACAGCAGACCTCTCCTGCCTGGGCTGCTGCTCCCCTCCGCTGAGTACTTCCTCAATCTGCCTCTGCTCCCTACTCTGTCTCTGGTGAATCCTCTCACTGCCCCTGTACCTCTGGCCTGTACACCAGTTCTATATGCATTAAAAAAAAATCTTAAAAAATAAAATATTGTGAAGTGCAACTATGGAGAAAATGGCAATCACAAAATAATTTGGCTCTCTTCTATATGTTCAGTAGTGACATTTGTTAGAATAATTGTACTATTTCCTCATTTGTAATTATACTATATCTTTCCATTAGGTTAAAGTTGTATCTTTTCCTGAATAAATGATGCAGTAGCACTAAATTCCTTAAAATTATAAGAATGTTATTTTAACAAAAAGCAAGATTTTTTGTGCATGGTTATATAGAATTTACAAGTTTAAGATGGTGATAACACTAAGAAAACTACTTTAGTATTTAAAGTTAATTAGAGTATTTTTTTTTTTTTCACATAACATCTTATTGGTCTCCCATTAAGACTGGGCAACTTATTTGAAACAAGTGTTATGTTCATTGAAATAGTTACAAAATTTAATGAGTAATGAGTTGTTATTCAAGTCACATGTATTCATAACTGAATATTAACCTCCAAATTTTATGATTTACAAATAGCCTGATTTATACTTGCATAAATTACTTACAAAGATCTAAAGCCCTCAGAGGTGTTCTCAGATTTAAACAAAAAAATTATCCCAAGGTTTTTTTGTTTCTGCTAAATCATTTTTAAGATTTGTAGCTTTGAAGCATTTTATTTAAAAGTTGGTATTCATACATTAACTGCTAAGAACTTAAAATTCATCAGATATTTACTTCATTTTTTAGCTTGACCTTCTAGTAAATCTTTAGCTTCATTGATTTTGGCTGCTATATAAGGAGATCCTCCCTTGTCTGGGTGATTTAAAAGCATAATTCGTCGATGAGCATCCCTTATTTTTCCTTTATTGGCAGTAGGGCTTACACCTAATATTAATGCTGCTTCCCGTTTTGTCATTTTGGGTTCAAACCCACCTCTATAATAGCCACCACTGAAAGCAGATTTTGGTAGACTTTGGAAAACCTGTTTTACTTGAGGCTCCATATGCTTCATGGCTTGCAAAACATAGCGGCCTGCAAATCCTGCAGCAGCAATGGTCAGTCCAACTGCTACCATTGTACTGGCCATGGCTCCGGCTCAGCTCTCCTGCCTCCACCGAGAGCGGGGTTCATCCCAGACCAGAGGCCGCGGCCACCAGCCCCACGGCGACACAGGAAAACTACCCGGCCACCACCACCAGCACCTAATTAGAGTATTTTATCAGAATTGTTTACCTTTGTTGGAGGTAAAGCACTTAGAAAGTTTTGGACAATTTAAACTCCAAAGAAGTTAAATGACTTTTAACTAATTTTTTTTTTAAATTTCCCGGTTAACTTTTATTTTTAGATGTATTTTTTAATTAATAGTTCTTGTTAGAGTTTATGACTTTTTTTTTTCAATTAATATGTCACTTAGAAAAATAAAGGAACTCTTCCTAAAGTATGTCCATTTTCTTTGTCAGTAAATGGGTACTCTGCACGTAGTTGTTCATGGATGTATTAGAGTGAGGCTTACATTGCTAAGCATGTTGTTGGGAAGAGAGGGTTATTGCTCAGTATTGAAATGCCAAAATATTTTACAAACAGCTGCCATTTTATTTTTCATGTTACTCAGAAGATTCTGTGCCGACACCTGATGAAGTAAGCATGTTAACAGCAATTGCGCTTTTCCTGTGGTCTGCCAGTAGTGAAATAATAGGAGTTCAGTCATTACAAAATGGCTGCCTGAACAGATTTAAAAACGCATTAAATTCATGTGACCCGTGGGTAAGTTATATTTAAAGCAATTAAATATACAGGTAAATATTTCACTTCCTGGAGAAGATTTCAGATTGACTCACTAAAATGTGTGATAGATCAAAGGAAAACTTATATATCTCCTATGTGACTTTTAAATAGAAAAAGTGGGAAAAATTCACTAAATTTAGCTACTAGGAAAGACACATTTACATATGTAGAAATTCTCCAGTATCAAAAACATTTGATTATCCTGGGCTTATTCTGGTAGAAATGTTACATGAGCCTATGATTATATTTTTACAGTTTACTTAATGACACCAAGAGCATTAAAGGATAAACCTTTATTTTATTGGGAATGCTATTTTTTCTAGAAAATTTTATTGTTTTACAATGCCAGAGTTTTAACTAATGATTCTCAAACCTGTTGCACACCAGAAAAAAGTTTATTAACATAATTCTGGACTCTACCTCTGTCTTCCTAAATTAGAGGTTTGTATTTCAATAATTCCTCAGATATTTATTCCAGCAAGATTTGGCAGCTTCTCATTTACCAAAGCATAGACACAATTTTATTCCCTCAATTCTCCTATATGTTAAAAGGCTTTGCCTTTTTGTTATTCTAATATGAAATCTTTCTTATCTGAGGTGGAGCTAGTGAAACTTTACTTTCTGGACCTGGAAAACTTAAATTGGTATCACCAGTCATTTCTAGGGAACCTTAAATGGGCTTGAGATGTCTACGCAATACGGTTTATACATTTATAAACTGTTTTACAGCTATAGAAATATTTAAAATGTGTAAGTTCAATAAGTTACAGTTAACATATAAGAAATATTTACTTGATTATTTTCATTTAGTTAGGTTATTGAATGTTTCATTATCCTACTTCATTCCTGTAAATAGAAAATGGCACTAATTCGTTCTGCATTTCTTTTTCTGTGCTGTAGTATCATTTCTTTTCAGCTTATGTTAGGATGCAATAAGAGTATTGAGCATGGAAAAACTATCACATGTGATAATTAATAAAATGATTTTCTTATATAGGTTCAAGCCAAATGTTACCAGCTTCTCCTGTCAGTGTTTCAACATTCCAATCGTGCACTTTCAACTCCTTACATCCACTCATTAGCTCCAATAGTGGTTGAAAAGCTAAAAGCTGTTGAAAGAAACAGACCAGCCAACAATGTAGAACTTTTAGCTGTTCAAGAAGGAATTAAAGTTCTTGAGACATTGGTTGCTCTTGGGGAAGAACAGAACAGTAAGTAATTTCTTATAAAAATCCACTAATCAGAAATGAAAACATGTAAAAATTATGTTTGATATTAAACACAAGCTTTCATAACAGGAAATTTACTAAGTGTTTTTACCTAATATTTTGCTTGCCCTACTAACAATGTATTGAGTTGATTTATTTTTTACTTAAAATTATATTTTATTTTTTGTGAGCAAGAGCTTCAAATTAATACTGATAGCATTTCTATATGCTGACTTTTTTTTTTTTTAAAGATGTATTTATTCATACAGAATTGGGGTACAGGCCAGAGATGCGGAGGGTGAGAGGATTCACCAGGGACAGAACAGGGAGCAGAACAGGCAGATCTACGAAGTACACTGCTGAGGGGAGCAGCGGGCGGGTCAGGAGAGGTCTGCCTCGCCATGTGAACTCCAGAGCAGGCAGGAATCGAACTCATGCAGAAGTGGCTTTAGATTCTCAGTGCAGTGCTTTAACCCGCTGCGCCACCAGGGAGGGCCTATGCTGACTTTTTTATTTTCTAGAGATGTGTTCTTTCAGAGCTAGGGAAAAATTTTAATAGAATTTTTAAATAATGCATTCTGGTGTTCAGATAGAGGCATAAAGCCTTTATAATAAATAGACCAGATTAGCAATCATGCCAAGCATCATTATTAAAACAATTCAAAGATTTAAATGATTATGTTATTGATTTATTGATTGATTGAGGAACTGGGAGACAGACCATAGGTTCAGGGGATGAGTGGATTCATCAGAGACAGAGTGGGGAGCAGAACAGGCAGACTCACTGAAACACACTGCTAAGGGAACAGCTGGTGGGACAGGAAAGGTCTGCTGTACAGTAATTGGTTAGCTCCCTGACAGAGTATCAGACTCAAACCACAGCAGTGATAGCACTGAGACTTAATCCCTAAGTCACCAGATGACCCTTAAAATGTTTAAATTATCCAATTGTAAATAAAGCAGCAATAAACATGGGGGTACAAGTATCTTTTTCAATCAGTGTTTTTGTGTCTTTTGGGTAGATACCTAGGAGTG